AATCACAGACAACATGGAGCCTAGGACAAATTTGCCTTAGACCAAGTTGTCATTTCGCATTACTATGGCTAGATGAAATAAATTAGGTGAATAGTAAAGGAGTAGAAACTTTAAAGAGAAGACTAAACATTGATAACATGGTTGGAGATGAAAATATGAAAAGCTGTGTATGAAGTATAATACCAGAACTGAAGATCTAGACGATGGTAAAGGGTAAATGCATCTGTGCTATTGCGACCGGTTCTAAGTCGTGTCACTCCGTGTCTACAAACAGTGATCATGGTTATACTGCAGACCTCAACCAGGTAGTTCATGTCTATCATAGTTCACTCCAACGGTGAATGTCTTCATGGAATGATGGCACCTCTTGATTTGGTCGTCCTTAGCTTTTTCCAACCTATTTCTACGTGAGCCAACACCGTTAGTTGATGTGGGAGATAGTTGAAAATACATAACATGTGTCCCAACCATTTCAGTAAATAAAGGTTCACGACCTTACCAACTGATATATCATCTTTGCTTAGTTTTATTTATTTGAACACATAAATATTGGTACAAACGGGCACCGCGTACATATGTGCCACACAAGTCACTTGATTTGTGGGTGGGCTGTGATACGGCCCGTGTCTTTTGAGAAAGTAGCCAACAGTAGACTGATATTATTTTCTGATATGGTTATTTATATGGTATTCTAATTATCTTGTTAATAACAAACTTTGTATTAAGAAATCTAAATTTAGTAAATTCATGATATTCACCACGAATACTTTAAAGGAACGAATAGTGAAAAGTAATATTTGAAGGGCAATAATAAGTATAAAGGGCATTCAGAAAACAAGTACCTTCAAAATACTGTCAATCAAAACTGACATACAAGATTTAAGAAAACTTAGAAGAGAGAAGACCTGCTTAATAAGTAATTACTAGGTATTTGGAGAAATGTGAGTGGTTTTTATCTTTATCTTTTACGCTTTCTTGGTACAATTTCCGTGATGACGTTAGGAAGTTCCTCGGTCATCATTTGCTTCTGTATTTCTGAACATATAGTCCAGTCAGTTTGATGGAATGTACAAGCCTGATTGGTACAGTACTAGTATAGAATTAAGTGATAGGTCGGGCGTCTAGGCACAGAAGAGAGTCGTTTAGGTGGCCGATGGGGACTCGTTGGTCGCAGGTCAGATAACGGGGACCGTCTACTGCAACTATGCACAGACCACAACCTGTTTCTGGCTAGCACTAACTTTCGGCACAGTCATCGCCGATGTGCCACCTGGCGTCCTCCCTCTGCATCCCAAGCCTGGACTCAGATTGATCACATCGCGATCAGCTACCGCTGGCGTGGTTGTGTAAAAGACTGCCGCTCCTTTTGGAGTACCTATCTGGACTCTGACCATGCCTTGGTCTGCGCCAATCTTGCCTTACTTTTCAGTGGACAACGAAGTGAACGCCATCAACGGATTGATGTTAGCAAGCTGGTTGCAACTTCTGTTGCAAGTAAGTATCGAACCGAGCTAGCCTCTAGGCTAGCTACCACTCCACCGAAAAGTATAGATGAGCATTGGTTGCAATTGCATGACGCCATGAAAATGGCGGGAACAGTCAGTTGTGGGTTTGCGAAACGTCCCGCTTTTAAGCACTGGGTTTCTTCTGGTTCCTTACAACTCATTGAAGCCCGTCGGTCTACTCCGGGTGACCGTGAGTTTGACCATAAACGAAGGATGTTATGTAAGGAAATCGGGCAAAGCTTGCGTAAGGACCGAGAAGCCTGGTGGTCGAAGCGTGCTAATGAGCTGGAAGCAGCAGCTGCATCTGGTAATTACCGGAAGCTCTTCCAGCTCATCCGAGCCACTGGCAGCAAGAAGTCTGGTGTGAGTGAAACAATCTGCGAGGATGATGGGATGCCAATCACTAACATCCATCGACGTCTTGGACGGTGGGCAGAATTTTTCGAAGGGCAGTTCAACTGGCCTGCTGCTCAGGCAACATCAGTCAGACTGTCCTGCCCTCCATGGCCGGTGACGACTGATCCACCAAACTAGGAGGAAGTCCGCAAGGAACTTCAACTCTTGAAGCGATACAAATCACCTGGCTCAGATGACTTACCTCCGGCTCTTTTTAAAGATGGTGGTGACTTTTTGACTAAGGAATTGACGACGTTGTTCACAAAGGATTGGGAACTAGAGAGTGTGCCAACGTCATGGAATGAGTCGATAGTTGTCCCTATCTTTAAAAAGGGTTCACGTCGTTCCTGTAACAACTATCGGGGGATAAGTCTACTTCCGATTGCGTCCAAGCTATTGGCTTCCGTCATACTTCGTAGGTTGTTCAAAACCCGAGAAAGATTGACTCGCGAGGAGCAGGCTGGTTTTCGTTCTGGTCGAGGATGTATTGATCATATCTTCACCCTCCGCCAAATGTTAGAACACCGCCATACTTATCAAAGGCCAACAATCGTAGTGTTTCTTGACATCAGGGCTGCCTTCGATTCGTTGGACAGAACTGTTCTCTGGGATTGTCTATTGAAGAAGGGTGTGCCTGAGAAGTTTATTAACATCCTAAAAGCCCTATATAAAAACACCTCAGGCAGAGTGAGGGCATACAACCACCTCTCTCCATTGTTCCATTCGAGTAGTGGGGTTAGGCAGGGTTGCCCAATCTCACCATTCCTCTTCAACTTTGTCATCGATGACATTCTGGAAACAGCTCTGATGAATGTAAGTAATGGTGGTGTGGATCTGTTGCCTGGAGAAAGACTTCTCGACCTTGAATATGCGGACGATATTGTCTTACTGTGCGATAATGCCCAAGGCATGCAATCCGCACTTAATCAGTTGGCAATCAGTGTCCGTAGGTATGGTATGTGCTTTGCACCTTCGAAGTGCAAAGTACTCCTACAAGACTGGCAGGATTCCAATCCTGTACTCACCCTGGATGGTGAACAGATAGAAGTAGTCGAGAAGTTTGTGTATCTGGGTAGCTGTATAAGTGCTGGTGGGGGTGTGAGTGATGAGATCAATGCACGAATAGTGAAAGCCAGAGCGGCTTATGCCAATCTGGGCCATCTATGGCGCCTTCGTGATGTTAGTCTGGCCGTAAAAGGTCGGATCTACAACGCGTCGGTGAGAGCAGTTTTGCTCTATGCTTGTGAAACCTGGCCTCTCCGAGTTGAGGACGTTAGACGACTCTCTGTGTTCGATCATCGCTGTCTCTGAAGGATTGCTGACATTCAGTGGCAACACCATGTCAGTAATGCAGAGGTTCGGCATCGTGTTTTCGGGCACAGAGATGATAATTCAATTGGTGTCACCATCTTGAAACACCGACTTCGGTGGCTTGGACATGTTCTCCGAATGTCGTCCCAGAGAATTCCACGTCGTGCATTATTTGCCGACTCTGGGACTGGTTGGAAGAAGCGGAGAGGTGGTCAGTGCATGACATGGTGTCGTGGCATGAAAGAAAGCTGCAAAGGACTGGCGTGTGTTGGTTCTTCACGACTCCCTGGTTGGGGTCTGAGAGATGGTGCAACACAGTGGCTAGAGACGTTATCAGATATGGCTCAGAATAGAAGCCAGTGGCGATCCTGCTGTAACCTTCTTTTACTTTCTTCATAAACAGTGGTTGTGTCTCCCTTACCTGAAAGATTTCTTCCGATTGTACCTTTGCGTTCCCTGATTACTAGCACATTACCTTACACCAATCTCTTCGTTATTGTTCTCTCTTTTTTTGTTGCGCTCCTTAGCTTTTTTTTTCTTTGTATTCCTCTCGAATTTTCATTGTTTTGTGTGGCGCATATATATTGGCGCTCCCCTGTACCAATATTCATGTGTCCAAATAAATAAATAAATAATAAGTGATAGGATGAGTTGAATAATGAAACTTTATACTAACAACTGTAAGACAGTTAGACATAATTATACACTGAAAAATGTTTTCCATATCTTATTTTGGCTTTGCAGCAGTCAGACGGATCGAGACAGTTGAAATGCAAACTAGCTATATCCCATCATTCACTTTATGTGGACATGTATGGACTTAGTACGCTTGATTTTGAAGTTATTAAAGAAGATTAGATAAGGAAAGGTTATTTTAAAGAGTGCGCCAAAAGAATATGATGAGTAAACAAAGAATGAATAATAGAAGCTAGTGATCATTGACTGATACGAGAAAGAAAAATACTACCTCTTTCTCATACATTCCAATTTTATTATTTTTGCTTGACTTTCCATTTTATCATCAAGTGTTAGAGTAACATTAATTGAATAAAATTATTATTATCCAGTTTTGGCAAACAACGCATATCACATTAATTTCTCGCCCGTTTGAGTAATAGATTGATAAAATGATCTCAACGATCATTATCGGATTAATCAGTTTTCAAAGTATAATTTACTTTTTTTATGAATGTGATTTCGGTCAGAATCAATGAGCTACTAAAGTCAGTACAGTGTTCAAATCAGTAACGTCTCAAACTATGGCTTACATATTCTCTGACTAGTTTTTTTGTACGCATTTGTCGTGAATAGGAAAATCGGAAGAATTTATGGTGAAAAAAATATCGAGAAGACAAAACTGCTGATAGAATGACAAATATCAAATAAAAACTAACCCTTGAATAAGTAACTGAGAATCTCGAATGAAAAATTCAACCACATTGAGTATACACTCTTTGAACCCTATAGAAATCACTTTTGTGTTTAAGTGTCGTTACAAACTTATAAATAAGGGTTCGTCCTAAAACAAAAACTGATTCTAGCTTGCTATGATTCATCAATAAATCGTATTCATAAACAGAAGAAAATATATTTGGTATGTATATCAGAGATGATGAATAAATACATCTTGGACGATAATCGATTTGTATTATTTTTAAACAAATTAAAAGAGCTATTCTTATCCCAGACAACTTGTTTTGGTTATGACATTTTTGAATCGATCTAGGTAAAATTATTAACAACTTTATTCAAAGACAAAAAGAAGTATAAATACAAAAGGATACTTACTGTGCTAAAGGCCATCTTCTGATGTTGTTGATAGTCATTGCTATTAGGTAGAGAACACATTTTAGATCCATATTTTCCAAAAGTTAATGTGTTGGACATTGGTGCTAATGAACTTGAATAAATAGAAGCATCTAAAACCTCACTTTGTGTACAAGCAAATGGTATATTGACCCTAGTGGACCACTGATTAGGATTATGGGCATTTATATCTAAGAACCCAGAGGATTGATGATAAAGATGGTTAACAAACTGACTGAAGTCAAACATAGAAGCTGAAGATTTTGTTGAGGATTTATCATGTGTTCCAGTTGATTCATTATTATTCATACTTGATTGGGAATTTAAAACAGCATTAAATATGTTTGTCATGAACTGACTAGATAAGTGTGGAGGTAAATCATCTTGTTTTAATGCGTTACTAATATCGGGTAGCACAGCAGGAATGGACGAAAATAAAGTGTCTGAATAGATAGCATTGTGATCGGATACCTTTTTAGCCTGTATCCAATTATCAGTTATCATCAATTTTTCTGTAGAGCCTGTAAAAGGAAGACTACAAGGAAAAGCACACGACTGTAGCAACGATCCATTTGTGCTACGTACGTTGTTGCTATATCCAAAGCTTTCAGGACATGAGTATGATAATTCTGGATAATTGGAGTTTAATATATCTGTTTTAGATGTCAAAAACTGACCATCCGAAGACTGGTCGTGACCTTGTACAGCCTCTTCAAAACCCGGAGGAGGATAAAGATTAGAGAAAGTATTTGGACTCACGTTAAATGACTTGTTTGGATCAACATGGTTGCTTCTGTTATGTGATACTATATTAGAGTACCAGGAACGCAGTTTTTCAGCTTGTGCAGAATTGAGACTAAAATTAGCTTGAGGAAGCCTAGTGTCTAAACTTGAGGATTGTGGTTCACTTGGACAGTGAGAAATGCCAACTGAAGATCCATTGGTTAAGCAAACACGATGACTGAACAGAGGTTCAGATACATTAAGACGTGAAACTTCAGCAGCTAAAAGTTCAGCTAAACCTTGCTGAGATTCTCGAAAGGGGTCAAAATCAATATCTGCGGGTTCATCTCCTAATAGAGGTTGGATATTTGAAGAATTCTCTGGATTTGGACGACACCATGTACGATGACAGCCATTACTGCTGGTACAAATAGGCTCAGTACGTGTAGATACTTGATTAGATGGGACAGAGCGAGGCAACAAAATCCGATTCTGGGTGGGATTATGGTGCCGCACATGGTTACCTTTAGTTCCTTCTACGTATGATTTATCTGTATTTGTATTTTCAGACGAATTCTTGAAATGAAAAGTACCAAATGAGTTTTTCCCGAGCTTTCTAGTTGGATAATCTGATGATGAAATTGATGACGAATGATTCCAACTACTCGGTTTGTTAGAATTATTATAATTTAGTTTAGATTTATCAGCCAATGAGGTATCGGAAACTGAGACAGCATTTGAATTATCTTTATTAGTATGCCTTAATTTACGAATCTCCTTAAGTGATGCACTTGTTTGATCAGACTGTGTAGTGCATCGATCTGAAACTTGCACCCCCGAGTTTTCTACAGACAGCATGGATGTGTCTTCAAATCTGAAGCGATTACGTCCATTTGAGTAGCTGCTTGATTCACTGGTATGAGGTACTGAAGCATCATTGGGACTTGAGACAGAAGAATCTAGTGAACCTAAGATAGTTGTTTCTTCCTTTTGTGAATCAAGTGAATATGATTTAGACTGACAGAAATCTTGCAACAACTTGTTCATGTATTCAGTATGTTTTCCAGCTTGCATTTCTTCTTTAGTAAAACTAGCAGCTGAATCACCGAGTTCATGCAAGTACATGCATTCCTTGAAACAAAAATAATCGTTTGTGAAAAATCAAAATGGCATGTAAGTTAAAAGACATAATCTTGACGAAGTAATCATGACTTAAATACTGTGATAAATGACAAAGCCAGCTATATATTCAATACTTATGAAGCGTAATCATAATCAAAAACGCTGTTAGGATGTGAGTAGAATGACTTTAACGTAAACTACCTCGATGAAACCTGTCTTACCTAGTAAGCATAACAATAGGTTTGTGAACCAATAAACCGTATAAAATAAACTACTTTAAACCTCTATGTATTGAAAACACTCAGAAAAAAGAAATGAAAAGGTTAGACATCTCAGCAAACTAAAAATGGTAGGTCGTTTCGAGATATTCATTTTTTGATACTTCTAAGCATTTTAAAAAAATATGAAGGACTAATTCGTCACAATAGATGATATAAATATATATATATTCGGATGTTAGATAAGTTGATTTTTATCATATCCTCAGTGTATAGTCTTCCTCACTAACAAAGCTACCATAATTATTTCGACTTTTTATTTGCCATCATGTTAATTTCATCTTATTGCACTGATTTATTTTGAGAACTTGGGTTAATGAACATTTACCCCAAGGTCTGTAAATGATTAAAAGACTGAGCAGTTAATTTGTTATTAATCACACAAGTAGCAATCGAATGAACACGCAGGTGAAACGACTTTAACTTATTTCACACAAGGGAAGTGAAAAGGGATACCAGTTTTAGGTATCAGTCAGTCAGTTACAACGTAGGACCATGCACATATGTGCATCGGTATGATAACAACTGTTATTTATCCTTTTAGGAAGATCGAGTAGTAAAAACAGGCTGAAAATTAGCCGTAATTCATGAAAAACCTCAATGGAGATTTCAAGAACTTAAGTAAATAGTAAATCACATTTCTGAAGTTATATATATAACAGTAATATTTAACCCGTTTTATAAACTAATTAGTTGGTCTAACCGCACAAAACAATCGGATCAGGATCTAACGGAAACACTTAAATCATTAACGGAACGCACATAACAAAATGAATGCCTAATAATCAATAAAGTCATTTGTTATTAGCCAGTCTGATTGATGTTTTGATGATGGTATCAGTGGTCAATGGAATTTCCACTACTAAACAGAATTTGTATATTGTTACATGGTTTAGTAAACATGCAGTCTAACGAGTGTGACACAAAAATGGACAGCTTGACTAAATGTAGGGGTATTTTCGCTTAGCTTCTAAATGGCTGATGACTCAGCTGAACAACTTATTTTTATATTTAAAAACCTCGATTAAATACAAAAAGTGGCAATCCAACCAAAAAGTCTGTGACTAAGAACAGAGAGTTGTTTGTTCATCTGTTGGATCAAACCGTTTACTTTTAGAAACGGCTTGCTTACTTTCTTAGAGAGCTAACTTAACTATACTTGCATGTGACAGGATACTTTAGCACTATTCAGAATATTATAAAAACTAAAGACAGAACAAAATGATCACGGTAATCTTTAGTGTTCAACAAAAAGCTGTATATTCTTCTTAGAAAATTACAAAGATATGAAGCGTAGGCAAAATACTGATACAATATCAAATGAAATTGCTGGGTACACAAAATCCCAGTCTACGAGAAAACCATAAAATTTAAAGTGTGGAAAGTCACTTCAAGTTAACGAAATGGATTATTAAACTACTTAAACCTCCACATTCTACCCATTGATGTATGAAATATTTTCAATAACTTGAAAACATGTAGCAGTAACTACAAAATCCTTGTTAACTTGTTTCGTGAGTGGCTTTTTCAGTCAATGTATCATCAAACAAATTTGTATTGAGTCAAGTTGCTAAATCTGGGTAGCTTTTTGGTGGTATTAGAGCGGCCGGACGTAGTATTGTACAGACTTATCGAAAGACCGAAGTTTTGTTTGGAAACTTCGTTAAAGAATGAAGTATTCTCTATATAATCGTTTGATAGGGTGCAACACATACAGTTATACACATAACATAATAAAGTTGCCAATCTTACGTAAAGTACAGGATGTTTGTAGTAAAAATAAACTTTATAAGGAGTTTACTGAACCTTGAATTTCCTACCTTGAATCAAGTGGCGTAGATACAATTAGTTTATATCCCAACTAAACAACTACATTCTGTTCAGAATCAAGTACTTTGTCGAGCACTCAGTAAAACAACATCACATAAACAAAAATAACCTAACACAGGATGTCAACGAAATCAGGAATAAAGTTTACGGTACTAGCTTATCATCTATTTTAAAACATTTTGATGAAACGTACGTTTTGGTGATTATTTCCCAAGCGCTTAAAACTGTGTCAAAACAAGAAAGAACTGGGCAGACATTTTTTAAAATATGTAAAGAAAAATAGCGGACGATAAACTAAGCAAATGACACAATCTACTGATTTTACAAGAGTTAGTACGGTAGTTTCTAACCATTCGCATTTCGAAGACGACTTGTTGGGTTTATAAATTTTTTAAGCATATGAGAGAAGGCTGACAAAACTAATACCCTGTATCCAATCTGATTAGTAACCAACTGCAATTGAGAGAGTAATGACAGTTACACGGAACTATTCACAAAACCATGCTTTAAACGAGTATGAATGATTTTTAATTACAGTAATAGATTGCAATCATGGAACTCACATGTTTGGTGCATTTCGTGCCCCTTAAAAACTGACTACAGTACTTTGTAGTTCCAAGTGATACACGGATTGGTCTCCCATGTAAAGTGCTCTGATTAAGATCCCTTATAGACCGCATGGCATCCTCAGCCCGATAATATGTTATATAAGCACTAAAACTAGGTTGACCCTGAAAAGTTCGAGAGAGAGAGAGAGAGGCGATATAAGCAATTTGCAAAATACTCTTAGGACACAAGTTTGAACACAGTCACCATCATTCATTAAACATACCTGTGGTCCACCGAAAGTTTGGTTTTGATTAACTTCCACTTTAAAAATTTTCCCATAACGACCGAAATAATTCTGACCTTTAAGTATTTCCTTATCCTTTGAGATCCATGTAGGTAAACCGACCACAAATATCAGATTTGGCTGAACAACTCTAGCCAACAATATCATTCTTTGATAAAAAATTACCTTAACTCTGGGAGGATTTTGAGCATTTCTGGATTAAGCTTTGTCTTCTTTATATAATCCTTGCGTCTTCTACTAGACCTACAACGAGATTCCCTAGGAAACGAGTAGATTCCAAATTCATCACTTACTCAGTCTCTGAAATAGGTTTGTAAGATGCCGGTTTTTCTGAATTATATTCCTAAACAATCCTATACAAGCTGCTGAGCCTTACCTTTCGACAAGCTGGACAAAGCCCATTTTCCTCGTTAATTATCTTAGCCCAGCAAAACCGGCATACCTAGTCTTTATGACGGGATAACTCATTTATTTACCTGGTACCGGCAATCACACGGGTAAAATGAGATGTCATCTGCCTCCATCGGTTCCATACATAAGGGGCACTTAAGAAAGGTCAGTTAAACTAAACAAGTACCATCTCCTTCTCCTCCGTGCACATTAGGATTAAATTATAATCCCTACTCTGAAGATTAAAAATAGTGCCTTCAGAACTTTTCGTAAGAAGCGCTCCCTTTTAGAATAATTTGATATGTAACCAATATCCAATCTAAATATTCTGGTGAATAAGTGATGTAGATACGATAACTTCCAGATTTAAATTAGTATTTACGGAAATTCTGAATGACTTTGTAGATGAATTTCACCATGAGGTATTTTTGTCTCACACGATTCATGAACTATATGGCTTTATGATGTAGAGGTAAATAAATCCCCAAAATAAATATCTCTGTAAGTTGTCGACATTAAATGCTGACTACATGTTTTAATGGACTCACCTAGCTGAAGGCGCTCGGTCATGCATCCGCACCAGATCACTAGTGGGAACGCCATGCTCAACAACTCCTGCAACCGCTAGTCAGATTAGATCAGAGGATCCTCGATAAATTGATAGCTTATCAAATATATCTTCAAACCTCCTCACTTCTGTCTTTTGATTTCACTTGGTGGGTACGCTTCATATGGAAGGTGTTTCCGGTTAAAGCGTTGTCAAACTCCGAATACCTGTGGCTAATTTAATGGAAAGTCTGTAGGACCAGAGCAATGCCACTGAGTCCTAGCCAAACCACTCATCAGCCAGATCATTGAATGTCCAACACTTTTTCTGTCTTCATCAAAGTCAATGAGGACAAATAGGCACCAATTAACGGCTTCCTAAATACAGGCGGATGAAGTAGTTTTTCCTCCCTGTACTTCTGCTAACAGTTAATACTAATATGTGATGTCGCCTACTGAAACTTTTTGTTCCTGGTTATCGTAACAGGATAATCAGGCTAAGTATTAACTGGGGGTTGTGGCTATGACACTAGCTAAGAGGTCGTACCATTCCCGTCCAACTCGAATAGACTGACGTATTACATGTGCCGATGATTTACAAGTCAATTTTGCATAATAAACCTTCAGTGTGTAATCACGAACATAGTCCCAAGAAACACGACGTCTGGTAAAATGGGTTTTATAGGTTGATAAAATACTGCTATGCTACTGACATATCATGTGGACTCAAGTGATCACTTGCTACCACATAACTAAACAAAAACGATTACGGCTAAGATTAGTGTAGAAAACAAAAGTTTAGCGGAAGACCAACTTGAGCATCAGTCGTAAACTAACAACCACTCCCACCACTAATCTTAAGAACTAAGACATAATATTACTTGTGGTCTATTTATCTGGTCATCAGATCAACTTAAATACACCATACTGGCTGTAGTTGATATTAAAAGATCAGTAACTTGTGTATTCACTTTATTGTACCAATATACTGACTGAATCAACAGACTACTAACGAGTTACTCTTTTTTCTGAAAATAGGAAAATGTTTGGTTCAGGTTAACGTTTGCAATGCTAAGCTATCTTGCTGTTTTGTCATCTAATTGTTGAATATTGGGCAAATCTTTGTAACGGTTGGACACACTTATCCGTGTAGAGAGTTGCATCACATCTCTTTTAATGAGGGAGTGCAGTATGTCGTATGTAGCAAGCAGTTCTGAAATGAGTATACCCATTTAAAACTTGATTCAAACTCGGAAACCTCGAAGCATAGTGCTCATTGAAGATGCTTGTTTTTCTATCAGAGCAAGACATTGTTCATCAAAAATGTTCTTGGTCTTTTGTCATTTGTGGATAGGCTGACGTTAATAATGACATCGTGATCTAACCACGAAACAAATGAAATTTGAAAGTGTATAAATCTTCATCAAAACACATGAAGTTCATGAAGTGTGACATCTTACATGGTAGAGGGCCTGTGAATTATGATCTAGGTCGGTATTAAGAGCTTTTATCTTTGCTAATAAAGTGATAAACCCAGTCCTAAAATTTTAAATTTGCCATGACGCGACTACATAATCTATAACATCTTACGTGTTAGTTCTATCATTATATATACAGACTCATCCTGTTATGACAGTCAGCAATGTGATGTTTACCACTTCTGAAGAACGCAGTTGTACTGACGACAGAATAATATATTTAATGAGAAAAGAAGTAGGTTACATAGTGTGACCATAATTGCATAGCCGATCCATGCTATACCAGTTAGTTATTTTCGTGTTCACCATTTTTATCTTTAATTGTTAAATTTTGGATGTGGATCTCCTGAGTTATCGTATGTTCGGCTTCAAGGATCGTAAGTTTCAAAATCAATAGAGCTACAGACTATCTGTATGAGAATGCAAAGCCTGGGTTCTTTTATCTGAAGACACGAATATGGCGGTAATTGACTCAACATTTCGAGATACCAAGGTGCCAAGTGAAGGGAAGTGGAGTTTCATAGAGGTATAAAAATGAGGGACTCTACTTCCAGAAACTTTTTGAGGTTCCAATTCCAAAATCACAAGATTCCTCAACAAAATACCACGGAAAGACTACAAATCAACTTAATAAAGATGAAATAAATTAAAGTGCCTTCACTATTATTACAAAATCTACAGGTATTCTACAACGAACAAATGAATCGCAACACCATGATTTTCAGGCTGCACTGAAATAAAGTCAAAAAGGGCAAATCGCAAGGTAAACGGTACGTATTTTCTTCAATAACCAAAGTGAACTAGATGCGTAGCCGAAGTCATTGCAATAAATAACTCCAGGGAATTAAGGCCTAAAAAAATTTATAAATGTCTGAAGCACATCTGGCCTTCTCTCCTTTCATTAATGAGCAATAGGCCACGCCAATCAATGTTAAATAATTGACATTGCATGAATTAACAATAGCTGCTGAAGGAACAAGTTCGGATATAACCGAGCGTTCAATGTCATTGCGATTAGTAACAAGGGTGGAACGCTGACAATTATTAAAGAAAATTTTAAGAAGTTGGCTGAGGTTCATTTTAAAAACTATTAGGTATAAGTATAAGGGTAGATGAAAACATTTACTTTTGGCCGTGAAAATTCGTTAAAATAATCATACGGTTTGAGGGACTGAATGGATTCCTGGTGGTTGGGCCTTAGAAGCTATCCCCGTCAGGCATGCATGGGTAAGTGATACACTTCGAAATTTTTGAACACCAATTTTCATCATCTATGGGATAAAATTCATGGAATAGGGAAGCTGAAAGTCCTAGTGAAACCAATCGATATAACTCTGGAATATAGGTTGTCATGACTAGGTCATGGTAATAGAGGGATTTCGGTTCTCTTGCTATGGGTGCATAAAAAGTAGGCTGATAACTTTTATGATGAGTCACTCCGTACGACAGCGCATATCCAAATCTACGCATTTTGGGTCAAGTCAAGAATCTTATTTGTTTTACTTTGTAATCACGCAACTCCGCCTGTAGCTCTTATACGGTTACTGCCGGTCCCAAGCCCGGGTAAAGGAGGAGGGTTAGGCATGAGGTTAGCTTCACCATCCCGTAGAAAACTAACTCACTAAAAAAACGCTTACCAGAAAAAATAATTCAAACCATTTTAACTCTGCCCTGAGAGTTAGAAGGTTTTCACTTAGAAGAATTATGACGCCTCATGGTGAAAGCCAGGTTACTTCGGAAGCCACGAGGCCGATGCCCCTTCTAACAACCAGAGCAAAAAATTTTATAGGTACACGGAACGTTCGAACAATGTGGGAAACCGGGAAGACCAGTCAAATAGCAATGGAAATGAGGAGATACAACTTAACAGTACTGGGAATCAGCGAAGCCCACTGGACCCAAGCTGGACAGAAAAGGCTAGCTACGGGAGAGATGCTGCTATACTCCGGTCACGAAGAGGAAAATGCTCCACACACTCAGGGAGTCGTTCTTATGCTGTCCAAAGTAGCACGAAATGCACTTGTAGGATGGGAATCTCACGGATCCAGAATCATCAAAGCATCATTCAAAACAAAGAAGGAGGGGATCACAATGAATATTATCCAATGTTATGCACCCACCAATGATAGCAACGACGACATTAAAGATCAATTCTACGAGCGGCTGCAGTCAGTGATAGAGAAATGCCCAAGAAAGGACCTCACCATTCTAATGGGAGATCTAAATGCCTAAGTCGGATTAGACAACACTGGATATGAAGATATTATGGGATGACATGGACTGGGAGAAAGAAACGAAAATGGAGAAAGATTTGCAAATCTATGTGCATTCAACAAATTGGTCATAGGAGGCACAATATTTCCACACAAGCGTATATACAAGGCTACATGGATCTCACCGGACCACACTACAGAGAACCAAATAGATCATATTTGCATTAACAAAAAATTCCGAAGGACAATGGAAGATGTGAGAACCAGGAGAGGTGCTGACGTAGCTTCAGATCACCACTTAGTTGTAGCCAATTTAAAACTGAAGCTAAAAAAGAACTGGACAAGTGGACAAACAGCAATACAAAGGTTCAATACAGCCTTCCTTCAAGATACTGACAAACTCAATGAATTCAAGATAGTTCTCAACAACAGGTTCCAAGTCTTACAAGATCTACTGAAAGAAGAAGAAACTACTATGGAGGACAACTGGAAAGGCATCAAGGAAGCATTAACTTCAACGTGTCAAGAGGTTCTGGGCCTGAAGAAACACCATCATAAGGAATGGATCTCTATAGAAACTCTGGACAAGATCAAAGAAAGGAAGAACAAGAAGGCAGCAATTAACAACAGCCGAACTCGAGCAGAGAAAGTTCAAGCACAAGCTGAATACATAGAAGCAAACAAACAAGTGAAGAGGAGCATTAGAGCCGACAAGAAGAAATACGTGAAAGAACTAGCAACGACGGCAGAAAAAGCTGCTAGAGAAGGAAATATGAAACAGCTTTACGATACAACGAAGAAACTAGCAGGGAAATACAGTAAACCAGAGAGGCCGGTCAAAGACAAAGAAGGCAAGCCAATCACCGAAATTCAACAACAGCGTAACAGATGGGTAGAATACTTCGAGGAACTCCTGAATAGGCCGGCTCCAATGAATCCAGTGGACATCGAAGCAGCACACATAGATCTTCCTATAGATGTCAACCCACCAACGACGGAAGAAATTAGAATGGTCGTCAGACAAATCAAGAACGGGAAAGCAGCAGGACCC